TGTGTTTCCTGATCTAAAGCAAGGCCCGTTGGTTTAGGCCAACGTACATCACCAGTCCATTCCTCTGGAGAGGAATAAGTTCATCCTGCAGGCGCAGGATCCCGGGATTTTGCGATCCCACAGTTCAGTATTGCTGGAGAAGGCTGTACATGTTCCACATATTTGTTACAATAACTTAACTTTCAACATAGCATTTCACAAAATGCTTCATAACGGCCTTTCAAACTAGTTAAATGTGGACAATAGCATTGTGATTAAGTTTATCCCTTTTCTAGATTGGCAGACCTTTCAGGCACTCATTCATGCCCAGTAGCTTCACTCATTTCACAGAATAAAATCCTTTAGGCTGATTGGTGACATTTCTTGTTTAATTGTCTTGGAATAGGCTCATGAATTTCATTCAGAGAGCTAAGGCACTACTTTTCGATTTTCTCTCAGATCTGTATGAAGTTTATTGCAGAGAATTATCGACTCCTGCTGATTCAGGATAGCATAAACTACCAATCTAACTGCTGTACTGTTATTTGCCCAAAGGGATGCAGAACATTTTGCAACCCAGAAGCTTTAAGTATTTGCATTTTTGTTGAAATAGGCTAGTGTGCTCCCCTTTCCCACCCAGCACTCTTTTTCTCAAATAGCCAAAAGTTTCTTGGGAAGATTATGTCTTGCTGTTTGTTTCCAGCTTCAAATAATCAGAACTTTGTTACTGTGGACCATGCTTTGCATACAGTAATCTTTCTTTCTGTTATATTGTTACCTTTAACTCTGAATTATGTACTATTTTAATTTCACCACGTTTCTCTGCAGCAACAGCCACAAGTCCCCCAGTAAGGTTCATGGCTTAGTGGTATATAATGGACCTCAGTCTCCCACCTCCTGGTCCGAATTAGCTGCTATACTAAATTGGCTTCTTACTTCAGTACAAGCTGAGTGAGATGAAGCTGGGAGGGAGCACATTCAGTCTATTCCCATTGTCACTGATATCTGTTGCATAGCTCTTAACAGTTGGAAATGTTTATGGGTAGTAGCCATTCCTTTCCTAGAAACGGATAGGTAATGTTGAGGTATAGCTGAAGGAATGGCAAGTGAAGGGAGAGCCTTCAGGAGAATAGTTAAAATTTATGATTATATTGTTTGAAAAAAATTAGGCCTACTGGATGATGGTTGCACATAAAGACAATTGGCTGCCTTTGTTTCTATCCTAGTTCTGTGAGAAACCTCTATAGCCCCAGCACTGTATTGAACTAGTTATCAAATGTTTTGCAAAGCTTTGTCTCATGCAAGTGATACTGCATCCAGGAGGGAATCCATATTTTGTTAAACACTATCTGCAAGAATCAAAATTCTATGGCATATAGAAGGAAAGAGAGTAACTCATATGAACTACCATGTAACAATGAATAAAGATTTCACCTTTAGCTTTATGAGAGTTACTGGGTTAAATTCTTGCAAATATTACTCTCAATATAATGCATTCAATCTGTTGTGTTTTAGTGATTGATTATTGTAATTATTAGTAGCTGATTAGTATTAGTGCTCCTTTTTATTCTCTTTCTCCCATGGTTTGCACGCAAGGAAACCCAAACAAGCAAGCAAAGATTATACTGATTAGGGACTGGAAGTTTCCATCAGTTCCAAAGAAGTTTCAAAAGAATTAGATGGTAGAGTGCAACTAGTCCAGTTAAGTACCTTCTTCAAAAAAGAGTTCCACTCTGAAGGAAAATTGGCTCTCTCCTGGTATTGGAATAAGATGAGCCCCTTAGTAATCAAATAATATAATGATTGTTGCAGATATTTTACATTTATTCTTATACCTTGTTTTTCTCCGGGCAAGGGTTTTCTATTCTGAAAGAAATGTGCCCCCCCCCCCGGAATATTGGTATAGCAGTAGGCTTGAAAGTTTGAATAAATGAGTCAAAATAAATGCTAGAAATTTATTTTATTTTCTTCTTTTCTTTCCCCCTATGGTACTTATGCAAAGTTCTGATTGGCTGATAGTTACTTTCAGGCTTTATATTTGCAAACATGCCCGTGAATCTATGATCCTTGCATCCTGATGATCAAAATAGTCAGAATACCTTGGATCAGTTTCAGATGTGTTTTAAAATAAAATTAGAGATGTTGAAAAGCAGAGAGCTGTTTGTCTGAAAGTACCTTAGATAAACTGGCTGAAGATTGTAGTGTGTTTATTCACACTCATTCACTAATACTTAAACATAGTTTTGTAACTACACCAAACTCAAACAAAATGCTTGTAGACAAAGCCACCTACCGCCATGTGATGATATGGATGTTTTTCATATGATAGTATTTTCCTTTGGATTAAATTTTATTTCTTTTATCTTTTTTTAGGAGGATTGGCTTCCTCTCACTTCTATGATTATGGTAGTTCCAAGACATCAGACAGAAGCAATGGCTCCCTCTACACCTCTCTGTTTTCTGATGAACTCTATACAGCACCTCAAGATTCCTCTTATTTCACCGGAAATCTTTCCAGGGAGGACAGTCATGTTACCCCTTCAGAGAGCACTGAGGGAATTCATGCCCAAGGTGGGCTGTTTAGCTCTGATTCAGGAATAGAGATGACCCCAGCAGAATCCACTGATGTCAACAAGATTTTAGCTGATCCAGTGGAACAGATGAAATCGGAATCCTACAAGTACATGGACATCAGTAGATCAGAAGAGATTAAATACCAAGAGAGCTGTGACACAGTCAAGGAAGATGTGAGTCCTTTCAGCTTGATTAATAAAGGCATGGAGGACAAGATTGGAGCAAAAGGGACATCATTTGGTGAAAAACATGAGACTAAAGAGGGCTCGTCTTTTCTACTGGACCACCAGTATAGCCCCTCAGAAACATCACAAGTCAAGATTACACTGACAGAGATAGAAACTATGGAGGTGCCTGTATCAAAGGAGAAAACTCCTGAAAAACAAGAAGCTGGTCTCAAACCAAGCCATGAAATAGTTCCTACAGTGACAGTATCTGAGCCAGAAGATGACAGCCCAGGCTCAATTACACCACCTTCTTCAGGAACAGGTAAAAAATTATTACATAGCAAAGTACAATCAAAAATAATTTAGGGGGATGAGGAAGATTTGCAGATAACATACACTAAAAAACCCTCCCTTTTTACAACCCTTAATTTGGGGTAGAGTCAGGCTGACTGGATGGAATTGAGCATTTACTGGCCAGATGCCCTTCTTGATGCCACACAAAGTTCTCAGCAGATATTTTTTCTTTGTGCCCTTCAGATAACATACACTAATAACTGCAATTAAACTTTCCCCAATAAGAGTACTTTACAGGTGGATGGAATGTAACTCCTAAATTCTTAGTTATGGCCATGTTGGTTGGAGAATTCTAGGTATTGAAGACACACATCTGGGGGTTACCGAAATAATTCATAAATTATACATTGCTCCCTATGACATAGAGAAACCTCAATCCACAGCAACACCCACCATTTTGTGCATCCTGCAGATGCCCTGGGTAGTATAGGGGAAAGGATGGTTGGAAACCCACAACCACTTCCTTCCATTAAAGTACCCAATGTTATATTCTGTGAGGGCTACATTGCCATAGTACAATAAAGATAGGTAGTACTGGCGGTGCTTTTAGTATCTAAATCTTTTTCTCTGAATTTAAGGGCATTGTTATGTAGAAAAGCTCTATGCCAGGGATATTCAACCTTGGCAACTTTAAGACTTGGGGACTTCAACTCCCAGAATTCCCCAGCTGGCCAGCTTTAACTCTGGCTTATTAAGCAGCAGTGGAGATCTTTTTCTCCACTGGTTTGAAAAGATGGTGCAGCTCCAGAAATCTTTAAAAGGGGAAGTAAAATTAAAACCAAAATCTGTCTCAAGGGAAGATTCCAAGCACATCTAATGATGGGTTGTGGAATTGTTTTGTCCCCTTTGGCCATTTAGATCCATGGACAATTTTTTCCTACAAAAGTTAGCCATCCTTATATAGCTTTAGGAAACAAGAAAGGGGAAGTAATTGGCAACTGCCCACAAAGTTGATACATTTATTTCATGGAATATGAAATATTCACTTATATACAATATCACACTAAGCACCAAATCCTATACTCAAGAAAAAGAGAGATATGTTTTGTTATGTATCACATACACAAATCACAGTCCCATTTTACACCAGCCCTCCCCACCTTAAAAGCTTTTATGAGTCATGCCACCTGTACTCTGTTTTCAGCAATATGTTTTCACACATTAAAACACCTACTTTTATATTTTGTACGAACCATGTATTTTTTAAAACTTCTTTATTACTTGCAAATTGTTAGCAGTAAAGTCATGTCTTCTTATGAGGAGAAACTTCAGCACCAGACATGAAAAATCTAGAAATAATACAGAAAGCCCATTGTGTTTGCTTTAGAGCTTGAAGGTTGGGAGGTACTGTACATGCATAAGTACATTATGTGATTGCTTCCTGAAGAGATAAAATTGGATTTTTGCTAACCAGAATTGTTATCCTTCTCTTTCCCTCATTTTTTTGTTTCTCTTTCATTACGTTCATTCTTCTTTCCTAACTTTGAACATTCTCCTTGAAATTCCAGAACCATCTGGTTCTGAGTCTCAAGGTAAGGGCAGCCTTTCTGAAGATGAACTTATTAATGCCATTAAAGAAGCAAAGGGCTTCCCATTTAAGCATCCTGAAGGCCATGGACCACAAACTGTTGTACCAGAAAAACAAGATAAGAAAAACAAGTTGACAGAATTTCCAGCAGGAAGTGCTCCCTTGGATAATGAAGCAAGCAGTGCTGAATCTGGTGATTCTGAAATAGAATTGGTGTCAGAAGACCCCCTAGCTGCCGAAGAAGTTCTCCATTCCAACTACATGACCTTCAGTCATGGTGGAGGTCCTCCACCTTCCCCAGCCTCTCCTTCAATACAGTATAGCATCCTGAGGGAAGAACGTGAAGCTGAACTGGACAGTGAGCTCATAATTGAATCATGTGATGCTTCGTCAGCCTCTGAGGAGAGCCCTAAGCGGGAGCATGACTCTCCCTTAATGAAACCAATTATTATGGACATTATCCAAGAAGAAAATCACACTAGGAATGAAGGCACCAGGGCTTCGGATTACAATTTAAGTGGCTCCAAGGAAAGCAGAATGAACAGGGAAAATCTAGCAGATTCAGCCTCCTACTTGAAGTGTTCCTTTCCCACATCTAAAGTGCATGTTGATACCATGTCTTCATCTACCATCAGTAGTGAAGATATAAAGGACAAAGTAGCTCAGAAGAAATCAGTTGAAGTGGCAGCGACTGCTTCTGGAAACAAATCACCATCCAAGGATTCATTGACAAGAAGCCCCTGGCCTTCACCACCACTGCCATTTTTAAATAAGCAAAAAGGTAATGCTGTCTAATTTTACTGCCAAAAATATGGGCACTTGGTTATCTATGAGAATAGATGATGAAAACACTGCTGATCTGGAAGAATCAGGAACAGCAAGGGTCTGCCTCCTCATAGATAGGATTTCAAAGTAAACCATTTATCGGGGGTGGGGAGCAGGAATATTGTTAAGAGTTGATTAAGACATGGGGTGAATATTGAAAATGGCTATTTGTGATGCAGTTGTTGCACAAGTTCAATTTATTGTGGCTTTGGTAACATGAAACATTACAATAACAGTTTGGTTTTATGCAAGTGAAAATATCTTCAGTCACCACATTTGCAAGAAACTCACTTTCAGAAAATTAATGTTATTGGGGAACTTAATATGCAACAGAATGATTATCTCCACTAATTAAAAATTCAATTCACATCTTATTTTGCCCCTCTCTCTCCATTAGTTAGTTCAAGGAGATTTACTGTTTGTTTAAAAGTTAGGTATTTGAAGAGGTTTAATAATTTAAATATATTGAATAGAAAAAAAAATACAATGTAAAGAAGGGATAGAAGAATGAACAACCTTATTACAGAGAGAAAGAGAGAGAGTAATTATCTTTAATCAGCATTCCTAATGGCCAATAAAAATAAACATTTAAGCATTCAAGTTTTTGTATAAAAGAGATAGATTGAATTATATTTTATTTAGATCTGGACCATAGAACAGACCCATCTAGGACTATAACAGTGGAATATAGGTAACACACGTAGATGATGTAGACCAGAGGTCCCCAACCCCCGGGCTGCAGCTAGTTTGGAACCGGGACGCATAAGCGGTGGGCAAGAGCATGAAGCTTGACTTACATGAGCAGCGGGCACCGGCGGTCACATGCAAAGCTTGACTCCCATGAGTGGCGGGCAACTTGCACTTGTGTATGAACCTCCATTTTTTGTGAGCAGCAGGTGCATGCCCCTGCCGCTCACAAAAATGGAGCTGTGCACGCTCACGCTCACACACCTACCACTCACACAGAACCATCCCCTCTCCTGCACCACGCCAGGCCACCAAGCCAGAAAGGTTGGGGACTGCTGATGTAGACCCTTATATCAATTACTGGATTTTACTTGAGAAATACACATTCAATCTGCATAATTCAAAAGTTTCATGCATTATGGGAGACGTCAAAGAAGCGAGAGCACAAAGTGATTTATACAGCAAAGAATGGGGGGAAACAAGATTGTGGTACATCCTAATACCTCTCTCAATGGAAAAGAAGGCAAAAAAAGTTTTTCCCACCAGTCCCCATGAACTCTACTTGCTAAATTCAAGATAAGGCTACCTTTATAAAAAAAATAAATGTTCCTGTACTCACACAAAAGGAATGTGAGGGAAGATTGAATGTTAATGTATGGCAAGCACAATGAACAGCTGTGTTTTCAGATTTTTTTTAATGAAGAGGATCAGAGGCAGGTAATTTGAGAAAAATGTCTACAGGTGATTATATTAAATTTCCATATTGCTTCATCTTCATCTGTTGCATTGTAAATGGATATAGAATCCATCATGTTAAATTTACATCCATGAGCACCTACTTTCACTTCTCAGGCTCCAAAGTGGCAGCATGATATATGTGCTTAAATTATTTGTAAATCAGGTGTACACAGTAAATGAAAAATTACAGAGATGACTTCTGAAAAGATCCCAAATGATCAAGTTTGTAGAGACTAACATAAAATGCTATGAGACTGGGTTTGATGTAATGGTTAAGGCATTAGGGTCCAAATCAGGAGATTGTGGGTTCTAGTTCTACCTTAGTCATGAAGCCAACTGGGTGACCTTGGACCAGTCATACACTCACTCATCCCTAGAAAGAAGGAGACAATGGCAAATTACTTTTGAACATTTTATCAGGAAATCTGCAGGAAATTGTCTAGGTAGTTGCCAGAAGTTAATGGTGACTTGAAAGTACCCACTATTCCAAACTGTTTGTCTTCATACGAATGCCTCTTGTATCATCTCCGCCCCCCCCCCCCCAAAAAAAAGGAAAGCAGGCCAGACTTGATAAGTGCTTTGATGGGAGACCAGCAGAATTTGCTATAGTTGTAGGTTAATTGAAAGCCTAGCAAAAACAATGAGAAAGCATTTCCATGTTGTTCCAATCTCCATATGAGGTCAAAATTAATTCCAGAGTGATTTTACTTATCTGAATACCCTGTTTGTTATTATTTTTGCTGATACATATCCTAGAATGGAGGGAAGGCACTTCCAGAAAGGAGCCTCTACTGGCATTAACAGAGACATATTGTGGAACCACCGTATTTTGTCATTTCCTTCTTAATTTTATCTGGAAAACAAATGATAGAAGAAACTGTGGGGAAAGACAAGGATTCAGATGGAAGGCTAAGTTCTCAGGACACCATAAAATAAATGTATTTATTTGTTTCATTTACTATATATGGCTGCCCATCTCACAAAAGCAACTCTGGATAGCTTACAATTAGAAGAATAAAAAATAAAGCATAACAAATTCCCATAACAGAATAACAGGTAATCCATTGCATATTCCATTCAAGATCTTTCATTTCTGAATGTACTTATCCCACCCTCTGGCCCAATAGGGAAGAACCCTGGTCCTAATGGAAGGCCACTCAGGTCAGGACCATCTGAATATCAGAGGGAATGTTATTCGCTAGGGCAGCTGCCATGATAGAAAAAATGTGCCTCCTAGATGACCCCTGTTCACATTTTATAGAAGGGACCCAGAGCAAGCTCACTCTGCCAGATCTAATGGGACAAGTAGAGATTAATGGAAACATTCCTGCAAATAAATTAGTCCTGTACTATGAAGGGGTTTATAAATGGTAGCACCTTGAACTAAACTTGGAAGTTTAAAGGAAATCAGGGCAGCTTGCTTACTTGTAATAATGTTCATCAATAAGTATGTGCCACAGCATTCTGGATCAATTGCTGCTTCCAAGTAGTTTCCATGTATGGTGTGACCAAGACATGAATGACCATGACCACGTCTCCTGATTCAGGAAATGACACATTTGGTACATAAGACTGTCCTAGCCAGAACTGTCACCTGTTTTTCCAGCAGAAGCCAAGAGGACCCACAATTGTATGCCAGTTCTGTCTGAGTGAATGCAATTTAGGAGTGGCTCCTAAATCTGGAGACCATAAGCCTAGAGCCACGTGATTTTACTTGGATTCAGCCAATCCCTGTTCTTCCCTGTCTGCACCTTCATAACTTCTAGGTACTGGAAAGAACCAAGATAGCATTACTTGATCAGCATAGAATGGAGATGAATAATTGGGTAATATCAATATTGATGATACTTGACCAGGGGTTTCCTCACCCCAGCAGTTTCATGTTGTTGTTAAATAGGAATGGAGAGAGAATAGAGCCCTGAGGTATGGATTTGGAGCTAGATCTGTCTAACTGTATCAATCAAATGAATTGCCACCATGATTCAGGGGATAGTTCCAAGGACAAACAAACAAGCAAGCCATCGGTAATAGAAAATAATAAATGAAGTCCTTTGGGAAATCTAACATATTTTCCAGAGCTTTCCCTGATGTTTGGCAAGATTTCCTTTGTACGCTTATTTTGAAATGTAGCCAAGATATAATCTAACCTGTGTCTTCATAGAAAAAATATCTGTTGGAAACTCTTACCAATAATTACTGCTTAATGTTGTTCATTAGTCAGAATATAATAATTGCTATAATTTCTTCCTTTTAAAAAATCCTATATTTTCTCTGATGAGAAATGTGAAGTAATCATGGCTCTTCTCCAGTTTGTCATGGTGTACTACCTTGGCAATAATGCCTATAATTCTTTGATAGTAATCAGCCATGACAAAGTGACAGAAAAACAATTACTGTAACTCAAAATTAATTATTTTCCACAGATAATATAAATGACAAATTATGGTGTTTTCACAACGCAGGCAGAAAGGTTGTTATCCTATTACTGGTTAATATAGAGATTTTCAAACAGAAATTCACTACTGCTGCTGATAAAGCAATTAAATGAGATACCTGATGGCTTTTGGGGTGCAGCTCTGCAGATAACCAGCTATGAAGACCTGTTTGTGAAGTAGAACTACAGGGATTAGAGGAGATTGTTTCTAGTGAACCAGCCTCCCTGCTGCCTAGTAACCTCCTTATCTTCTCTATTGAATCTGTGGCTGGTACTGAGTACTTATGCTACAGTCTGCATCCATCTTGGACCTCCTTGATCTTTCAGTAGCTCTCAGTACCATAACTTGTGGCATTCTTCTGGTCTGGTTCAGGGAATTAAGAACAAGAGGCACAGTACTGTGTTGATTCTCCTACTTTTTCTATGGCTGGTTCCAGTGAGCTTTGGTAACGGGAGAGATCAAACCCAAGGCCCTACATCCTCTACTGTCTCTAGGAAGCTACTGAATGAGATTATCCATTGACATACTATGAGGTATAATCAGTATTCTGATGATACCCAAATGTACACCTTTGCCTTGAGTTAACCAAAGGATGCCACCAAGGTTCTTTCCCATCTCAACCCCGACAAGGCCAAATGGTTATGGATTTTAAACTTTTGGACCAGGAGTCTTTCTATCCTTAACTGAGTTGCCCGCCCCTATGCAAAGTTAGAGTGAAAACTAGAGACACTCTTAGACTCATGGCTCTTGCTCAGGAAGCAGGTAGCTGCCATGGCTAGGAAGACCTTCAGACAGGTACATCTTGCATGCTAATTATATTTATTTTTTAATTGGGGGGGGAGCTCTACTTACAATAATTCATGCCTTAATGACCTCCCATTTAGATTACTCTAATGCTCATTGCCTAGAATTATGCTTGAAGGGGGTTCAGGAATTGCAACCAGAATGCAGCAGCATAGCAGTTTTGGGCCTTTCAAAATAGATTCCTTATAACGCCATTCCTCTATGAGCTTTGCTGGCTTCACTACACAGTTCAAAATGATGGTTTATCGTCTGTAAAGTCTCATATGTATAAGTCCCACATAACAATATTAGA